TGCAGGAGATATACTCATACCCATAAAATAAAAGTGATAATAAAACATTTCTTAAAACTTAATATTAAAAAAGTAGAATCAGATAATATTGTATTTTGATTTATGGATGTCTGATTGCGTGTCTTACAAATGTAATTTATAATCATTGATGATAATTTGTTTCCACACTAACAAAGTGTGCAGCAGTGTGTCCCTCAGAACCACCTGTCCCTTGAATATGTTTCAGGATATCACCATCACCCCTAGGACCCCAGGTGATCACAGCTTAATGCAGAAGATACAGCACTCTAGCATCTTTGTATGCCTGTCCTGGGTGGTTCATGATTTTTCTTTAGAAAGTACCTGGATTTCTAAACAGTAGTGCACTCAATAGAAAGAGAGAGAGTGTAACAAGAAATTCTACCAATGTATTTTCAATTGGAATATTCTGTCAGAACACTGATATTTACAGAGTTCTCAGGTTGCATAACTAGGGTTCCACCTCTAATTACACCTCAGCACAAATTCCAGATTGGAAATGGAACTTTATGAATTTATCATGGAACAAAAATGAAAGAAGCATAACCCCTCCCAAAAGACAAACATGAGAACAGACAAAATTACATTACACTCTTCTTTTGTACCCTAAGATCTTCACTTTATGAGATGTGAGACCCATTCACACAAAGTTACACACACACACACACACACACACCCAAGGAACTCTATGATGAGCAAGAAATTCTGTAAGAAAAATATTCTCACCAACAAAAACAAAACAGCTGTAATTCTCCAGCATCAGGTCTCTGTGTAAAGCCCTCTGATCAGGATCTAGGAATTCCCTCTCCTCCTGTTACAATTCCACAGCCATGTCACTGAATGTCAATACATCCTGAAATGAATAACAGATTGACCACAAGTCCACAGGCAGGTTGATCTCCTTGAGTCAAGGAAACCAAAGAGATTAGGAGATTTAGGAGATCAAAGAAATTGAGAGGCATTTCCTGATGTAGAGTGTGATCATAACTATTCTACAGAAGTTTTTCCATATTGCCATGTTCTCTAACGCCTTTTCTAACTGTGGAACTAGTACGGCATGATACACCCATATTCAGCATGTGCACTGTTTCTATGGACTAGAGGATCTAAAATTAAGACCTCAAAAGAAAAGTATGCATTTTAGTGATGGATTCCCATGATAAATTATATAGTTCAGATGGAACATTAATGGTGAATTACAAGTTTACTTCTTCAATCTTAATGTTTACAAGTATAACTGGATGTCCGCTAAAATGTATGTTCTGATTCAATACAATCTAGAATCATTCCTTCTGTGAATAACTCTAATAAGCCCTCTAGAGATGGCAAGAATCCGGGTCCAAACGGAACTCCCTTAGATTGGAGAAAAGTAGAATATGGCAGTCAGAACGTATGGATGAATTTGACCTGGAAGACCTTTGTTTTTGCCTCAACAGCAAGGGGAGGGACCACTGACTTGAAGTAATTCCTTTACACTCGCCATCACTCTGCCATATTTGCGAACTTCAGCACATTAATTCAAATAGTGCACATAAGTCAGGCGTGGTGCAGACCTTTAACCCCAGCACTCACGAGGCAGAGAAAGACAGATGTCTGTGAGTTCAAGGCCAGCCTGGTATACTTAAGGAGTTCCAGGCTAGCTGGGGATACAGGGAGACCGACTCAAAAATAAATAGTGTACTAATTATTTTATGAGACTATTTTTGGAAATATAAAACTGCTGATAAAAATTCCTCCACACTCACCTTAAACCCGCCAGTCCCTCCTGGTCCCGTTCCACATCTGCTCTGCACCAACCGCTCCACGTGGCTCCTGTGATTGGGGTGAACCGTTACATCTCAATGAGACCGGGTCTGGTCTGTCCAACTCAAGTTCCAAACCACCCTGCTCCTTGAGTGGAATGCTCCCTAGGTCTCAGTGGAGTTTTCGAGGCCCCGAAGTCCCCAAGATCCCGCCAGGCTTTGGTGCCTCTAGGCCTAGGCTCTGGTCCCTCCCACTCCACAGGAAATTCTGTTAACGTCACTCATCTGAGCCCGCCCATTCAACACCCCTTCTCTAACCACACAGAACTTGCTCCACCTCCTTTCCTTGGATCACTCCCCTGGCCCAGGTGACTGTCCCAGACCCACTGCAACCCCCATCCTCGCCCCTCCCACGCACCTCTAGATCCCAACCAAGTGGCTCCAGCTGTCAGTCTAGCCCTGGACGCAGAACACAGCCTCTTTACAGGGTTGCTGTGGGCTTAGTCCACACCTGGACCTAGTAAGACACTATACCCCCCTACCTCATACCCCAGCCTGGTTTCTGTCCTCTTTACACACCCTCAAAGACACCCAGCCTGAAACCTGATCTTCGCATTCTACACTCCTGGGATAAAAAAAAATCTCAGGAAAAGACGAAAAACAGCCTAAATACATATGCCCAGAGCCCATCCCCCAAATACTAAAAGTATCATAAACCAATAAAATATTCCTCCCACCCCTCAAGAAAAAGCAGCAATTTTATAGCTATGTTCCCTAAGAGAGCAATTTG